GGAGCAAATCCATCTGGCGGAGTCAGGTTAGCTTTACAGCACATGCACTGATCTAAGCCCATACCATGATGCCGACTCCTACCATCTCGGTTGGGCTGCAGGATCTGGGTGAACAAATTGACACTTCTTTTGTATTTCTCTTCTGAATTCAGTCGAGTATTTTTTGGGATCTTCTTGGACTTCTTTGAATAAAGGTTTATGTCTTTCTGACATTCCGGCCACAAATGGGTGGACAGACGGATGGGTGGGAATCTCTCAGCAGTCCACCCTACTCCTCATATCCAGCCTTCTGAGTCTGTTTAGTGTTCACAGCAGATCAGAAGGAAACAAACAGCTTTATTGACTCCATCAGCTATTGTCCCAAACCTTTTAGTTCTCTATGGTGAGAGCAGAGATGCCTGTGGCTCCGACATCTTAATGGAGTCAAACAGTTCCTCCACGCAGCATCTGGCTCTACTTTATCAACTGAGCCACTTCCTGTAATCTGTGGGCAGCAGACATCGCCTGGCCACATCACAGCCAGGATGAGCGGGAACTATTACAGTCATGAGAACCGGTACGTTCTTCAGACAAAGGGAGCTACCCGCTGGTTCTGTCCCAGCGCTTTGCTCTCACTACTGTCGCCAAAACATCCCAAAGTTTGACTTACTTTACTCTTTCTGAACCCATGCAGACATGGCGGGCTAATGCAAACAGTAAGACATGCTGGACAGTGTCATGTTTTTAATTTCAAACGCATCTGAGTTTTATTATATATAGAGAAACAGATCTCTGAACACTTAAACATGTAAGCTTTTCTTTAAGTCTGGAGTTCAAACTGTTGAAAGAAAGTGATTTAAAATCCCCAGAGTTATTTGCAAAATATGAAAATCAGAGTAGAAAGAAGAAAAAAGTCTTTAAAAAATTCCTCTTGGGTTGGATCAAAGCTTAAAAGCACAGAGGACTGACCAATCCAACCCCCCCTTGCATCCATCATGGAGAACACCTTCCACCCTCTGCACCAGACTGTAGAGGAGCTGAGTAGCTTCTTTAGACAAAGACTTTTACACCCTGTTTGTAAAAGGAGCGCTACCGCTAGGGATGGGAATCGAAAGCCGATTCCTGTACAGAACCGGTTCCATGTGTTCCAATTCCATGGCACCATTTGACAGCTCGCTCGGTTCCAGGCAGCACCAGAGCCTAGTGCTGGGCAGCATGACTTACGTCAGGTTTCAGTGAGCAAGTGCGACATGACCAGGCGTAAGTGTAGAAAAGCAAACAAAAAAAATGGCGCCCCATCGGGTAAACCGATCGAAAGTTTGGCTTAATTTTAATGAAGAAAAAGATGGCAACAAGGCGCTTTGCAGTCATTGCAAAGTGGCAATAACATCTGCGGGACAAAATAAGTCCAACATGCAGAAACACCTGCGCACACAACATGGCATCCATTTTAAAGGTATACTATGCGCGAGACTTCTGAGCCTGTGGGTGCGGGCCGAGGGCTCCTGCAATTGCAAGTACGGTATTTCCCCTACAGACCACCAGGGCGGCCGAGAAAACCTTTGTTCAACCTGAAATGACTCCTTTAATCATCCAAAACGTTATGGAACACATTAATTAACTGAAAAATGTTGCATAGTATGCCTTTAACAAATACCGTGTTTTTGATGCTTCTAGACAGAAGCTGAAGTTACGACCAGCATGAAGGGAAATCTGGTTGGTAGCTAGTTTATGTCACTGGCTGAGCTTAGTGTGGTTCCTAGTAAATCAGACGCCATTCCTGTAAATAACCCCATTTCCTACCTCTCTTTTGGGTTATTAAACATGCTACGAAGTTGCTCCGCAGTTCAGGGAGCAAGAGAAAGGTGGCGCTCGTTTATTTAAATCAGGGGGAGATGAGTTTATTGCCCAAAATTGTACAGTAATGCTTTTTTTCATTAAACGGACGCCTTCTCCATTAGATTTAGATGACTGTGAGGAGACGGGTAGCCTGGCTGCATCAGAGGCTGCAGCTCCCGTTCACTGCCTTCTGTTTTCGCCGAGGAGGCAGAGATAGAACGTCCCAGAAGAAGGTAGACCAATGTCACCATGAACTTACCAAGTTCATTGTTTCACAGAATCAATAAGGGAATCTGAATTGTAAAAATCTTATTAATTCCCAACCCTAGCTACGGCAGGTCAATCCTGCTGCAACCAGACTCTACAATGCCACACTTCAACCGCAATAACTTGTGCAATGTATAATGTGCAATTACTATTTTATACCCTGTGCAATAATTTTATATATAAATATTCATCTATATAAATACCCATGTAAACACTCTGTGCAATAACCTGTATAATGATCCTACTATAAAAACATAAAGCTGTCATATGTGGACGCACTGTATATACTGTATATATCCCTATGCTAATGGAATTTCAGGTCCATTTTAACTTAATGAATATAGCGATGATGTAATATCGGGATCATTGAAGGTCTTCGCTGGCTTCAAAGGCGGCGGCGTGGTTGCCTACAGCTGCTCGAGGCTCCCAACTTTATCTGTTTGTTTTTGTTGTGGGCAGACAGGACTACAGCTGAGAGAAGATTAAAGATAATGGTTTTGGTCTGTAAGTTCAACCCTACAAACATAATAAGAACCTCCTGCTCCCCTGAGTTCATTGGCAATGAGAGCAATGAAAACCGGCGGGAGACACAGCTCTGTTATAATCATGGCAGCAGTCCAGCGAGAGAATGGCTCCACAGAGGATTCTGTCTCATCTGCAGCATCTATGCTAGGATACCGACATTTGATTTTCCTACAGGATTCATTCATTCTTATTTATTTATTTTTTATTTGCTCAAAAACTTCATGGCAAAGAATGAAACCCCCCCTGTTTCTCAGTGGGATGGTGTGGTATGGAGCCTGATGGTGCATGAGAGGGAGGACCTAGTGCAGGTGGTGCAAAAGGGATTACGGGATGCCGTCTACAGGATCTGAACTTTACTGTTGTTCCGACTACAGCAAAACAACAAAAACAAAAACTCAGCTGCATGAAATCCAGAAAAAAAAATACCTTAAACCCATTTTTTCGTAGAGCTTTGATTAAATTATGTTAACTAGTAAGATAACCCCTTCAGCCCTGAGGGTCTTAGGAGCAAATTCTGCCTCAAATTATACATGTGAATTAAAGCAA